CCTTGTTGCATTTTGTGGTAAATTGCAAACGTCAGTATATGTCTCCTTAAGTATTTCAGCAAGCCTGCCATTAAGTAGTGAGCCATGTTTGTTTACAGCAATTTTCTTTGGATATTAACTTTACATACAATGAAATATACCAATCTTTTTTTCCCAGTCATGTTACTTTTTAATTGAAGTATAGTTGATTTACAAATGTTGTGTTAATTTCTGCTTTATGGCAAAGTGATTCAGATATACATATACATTTGTATATATACATTGTATATGTGTGTACAGTCTTTTATTTAATGTGTGGCCTGTGGGATTAGTTCCCTGACCAGTGATTGAACGTGCATCCCCGCAAATGAAAATGTGGAGTCTTAAACACTGAACTGCCAGGGATGTCCCATATATATTCTTTTCCATTATGATTTATCATAGGATACTGAATATAGTTCTCTGTGCTTTACAGTAGGAACTTGTCCATCCATTCCATATACTGTAGTTTGTATCTCTTAACCCCAATCTCTTACTCCATCCCTCCCCCAATGCTGTCTGCCTTGGAAGCCACAGGTCTGTTCTCTATGTCCATGAGTGTGTCTCTGTTTCATGCATATGTTCATTTGTGTCATATCTTCGATTTCACATTTAAGTGATATTTGGTGTTTGTCTTTCTCTGTGTTACTCACTTCACTTAGTATGATCATCTCGGTCCATGCATGTTGCCTCAAATGGCCTTATTGTTGTAGCTGTACAGATTCTTGGATGCTTTTAACCAGACATAGAGGTATTCATCTGTGGTTATTTTTATGAATATATTATTAAAATGTGTTTAGTATACCACTCTTGGTATAGTACGTCCATTTTGAGGCTGTATATATATATATATATATATATATATATGTCAGTCACTCAGTCATGTCTAACTCTTTGCGACCCCATGGACTGTAGCATGCCAGACTTCCCTATCCATCACCAACTCCTGGAGCTTTCTCAAACTCAGGTCCATCAAATGGGTGATGCCACCCGACCATCTCACCCTCTGTTGTCCCCTTCTCCTCCTGCCTTCAGTATTTCCCAGCATCAGAGTCTTTTCCAATGAGTCAGTTCTTCACATCAGGTGGCCAAAGAATTGAAGTTTCAGCTTCAGCATCAGTCCTTCCAATGAATATTCAGGATCGACTTCCTTTAGCATTGACTGGTTTGAGCTCCTTGCAGTCCAAGGGACTCTGCAGAGCATATGTGGGTTAGAATAAATATTTATTCTTCTTCTGCTGCGCTCTCGTGGAGAAACAGAAGAATGATTATCAATGCAATTTATAAAATCCAGATGTATTCTCTCATATGTACATGTGTGTATGAATAAATATTTACTGTACTTTTGCTGTCCTTTCATGGAGAAACAGAAGAATACTTATCAATGTAATTTATAAAATCCAGATGTATTCTACACATGTTGGAAAAGATACTGTATACATTTATTAAAAATTGATACATGCTCATAACAGAAAACATAAAGTTGCCAGAAAAAATACAAAGAAAGAAAAAAATTACCCATGACCTCACTTTACCATTGGCTCAGAATTCCAAGTTCTGGGATGGGGAGTTAAGGGTATGCTTCCTCCTTTAGTATAAAATCATCGTTTCTACGATTTGAATGCTAACATAGAACTTGGTTTTGATATTTGATTCTTGGTTTGTTTGATTAATGTTAAGCATTTACTTTTACAAATACCTAGTAATTTTACCCCCTGTTTAGAGATTGTTTGCTTCAAGATTTTTTTTTCCCATAGTTTCTATGATTAAAAATGTTGAATATCTTGGCTATGGTAAAGAGTGCTACAATGAAGATTGGAGTGCATTCATCTTTTGGAATTAAAGTTTTCTCCAGGAATATGCCCACCAGTGAGGTGCTGGGTCATATGGTAATTCTTTTTTTAGTTTTAAAGGATCTGCCCTGCTGTTCACCATAGTGGTTCTACCAGTTTACATGCCCATCGACAGTGCAAGAGTGTTCCCTTTTCTCCACACAGTCTACAGAAATTATTGTTCATAGAATTTTGGATGATGAATCTTCTGAGAGATATGAAGTAATACCTCAGTGTAGTTTTGATGTGAATTTCTCTAATAATTAGTGATGTTGAGCATCTTTTCATGTGGTTTTGGCCACCTGCATGTCTTCTTTGGAAAAATGTCTATTTAGATCTGCCTGTTTTTTTATTGAGTCTTGTTTTGTTTTGTTTTTATACTGGCCTACATGAGCTGTTTGTATATTTTGGAGAATAATGCCTTGATAAGTAATGAGGTGTGTGAGACTGTACGGGAGGCAGTGACCAAGAGCATCTCCAAGTAAAAGAATTGCAAAAAGCCAAAATTGTTCTCTGAGCAGGCCTTACAAATAGCCTAGAAAAGAAGAGAAGCTAAAGGCAAAGTAGAAAAGGAATTTGAATGAAGAGTTTCAAAGACTAGCAAGGAGAGATAAGAAACCCTTCCCCTTGCTACTGCTGCTCTTTCTGTGCACTGTTTAATGTAGTTTATAATGTTTTATGCTGTTGCACAATAACATAAGCTGAGGGAGTTCTAAGAAGGAACACCTCTTGCTTCTGAGGAAGTTGTAATCCTCCTGAGATGCTGCCTGCCCTCACCTTTTCATGATCTTCTCCTGCAGCTTTATTGACTCTGGTGCACTGCTTTGATGGTCATTTCTTTTTCTGATTGTCCAGAAGGTCTAGCAGTTTCTGGTTTCAACTGCTTAAGTTGTTCTCTCTTTACCTAGTTCTCCCCCTTTGCAAGGATTTTTGCTTCCAGGTCCTTAAAGGAGCATCCCTGGATTGTCAAATTGGCAAGAGGCTTTTTGAGCTTTTTAAGATGATTTCCACATATTGCAAAGAGGCAGAGAAAGAACTGACAAGTTTTCCAAAGTAAACCTTCTAAAGCAAAGGGAGGGGTGAAAGCCTGTTCTCACTTTTCAATGGGGATAATTAAACCTTTGTTTCTTATGTCACTTTGTACTTGCCCTCCAGTATCCTAAGATGAGATACCACGTTCCCCCCAGGTGTCTGTCCCCCACAAATTGTGATTGCCGCACCCTGGCCAAACTCAGGCTGCAGGGAACTTCCTTCAGTGGAACTTGTGCCAAAGGTAACTCAAGGAAAAGGAATAAATAGGAGCCATTGCTCACCCTCCAGCTCGCTTATATTTTACCAAAACCTATACCGTTATAGCGAGTTCTCTGTGGTCATTTGCAGTAGGGAATATAACCAGAGGCCTTGTTTACAGATGGTTTCAGTTGCTCTGATGATCTCACCAGTCTTGGCAAGTGGAATATGTACTGTTCCACTTCATCAGAGGGGAACAGAAGATTGTGTAAAATATTTTGAATTTGTAAAATTTTGTTTTCCAATAAAATGTGTATGATGGAAAAGATCCCACTTGTAGATGTTATTATTTGTGATGACTCCAACCATGATTGATGAAGATGTGGCTCTGTGTGTGCATCACATCAGGTACAGCGTGGGACTCTGGGCTCAGTAATCTGGGGCATTGACGACAAGGAGTGGGGTGGCAGGGTGAAGGGTCTCCAGACCAGAATTGAAGTTTTCCCCTTGTTAGGTAAGAAAGATGGTAGGTAATCTGACATCTTCCCAGGTGAAGTGATCCTTCTGGCCCCTTCATGAGGATGAGAGATACATGCCTGGATATTGTGCGGGTGCTGGGGATATCTTCTGTTCCTGCTAAGAGTGAGGGTACAAGGATTGGCCCAGCATAGTTCTGGAGAACATCAGAAGTCGTGGGAACAAAAATCTGGAAGCACACAATAAGCTCCTGGTCCATTTTGTATTAGAATACGGTCCCTTGACTTTTCACTATGTAACACTCATTACCAGAATATGAATGGACAGAATCAAAAAGGTAACTGAATGGCAGAATTGTATTGTGCTTAAAAAAAAGAGAAAAAACCCTACACACATTGTGTAAAATTTCTAATAATAAATTTACAAACCCTTTGTAGAGCAGCCGGCAGGCAACATTTTATGAAATAGCCATTCAATTGGCAACATGGTGCAGGGATACTAATTCCAGAGAATACTAAGATAACTCTCAATCTGCCTAATGAACCTAGGCTGAGGGGGGAGCATCCAGGAGTTGGGCAGGAAGGCAAGTTGGGTGGGTCACAGGACAACACCTGACCCTAGGTGGGGATGCCTGTAGGTGAGGTGATGCCAGGCCCATGAAGGGAAGTACCAGGAGGGCCCAGGCAAGCAGATCCCCTAGGACATCTGCAGGCCAGTCCTAAGCCAGGTGGTGAGGGCTCAGGCTAGAGCCTGGCTCAGGCAGGCAGGGTTGAGGCCTGGTTCCAGGTCCCTTGGAGGGCTTCACTCAGTTCAGTTCAGTTGCTCAGTCATGTCTGACTCTTCGTTACCCCATGAATCAAAGCATGCAGGCCTCCCTGTCCATCACCAACTCCCATCACTTCATGGGAAATAGATGGGGAAACAGTGGAAACAGCAGCTGACTTTATTTTGGGGGGTTACAAAATTACTGCAGATGGTGATTGCAGCCATGAATTTAAAAGACGCTTACTCCTTGGAAGGAAAGTTGTGACCAACCTAGATAGCATATTAAAAAGCAGAGACATTACTTTGCCAACAAAGGTCCATCTAGTCAAGGCTATGGTGTTTCCAGTGGTCATGTATGGATGTGAGAATTGGACTGTAAAGAAAGTGGAGTGCTGAAAAATTGATGCTTTTGAACTGTGGTGTTGGAGAAGACTCTTGAGAGTCCCTTGGACTGCAAGGAGATCCAACCAGTCCATCCTAAAGGAGATCAGTCCTGGGTTTTCATTGGAAGGACTGATGCTGAAACTGAAACTCTAATACTTTGACCACCTCATGCGAAGAGTTGACTCATTGGAAAAGACCTTGATGCTAGGAAAGATTGGGGGCAGGAGAAGAAGGGGACAACAGAGGGTGAAATGGCTGGATGGCATCACCGACTCGATGAATATGAATTTGACACTAGGGGCTGCCAATCACTCGGGGCCTCCCTGAGCCCCTGCTGGAACTCAAGATGTGCCTGGCAGTTAGATTCAAGCACTCCTGGAGGCGGCTATGGAGGTGGTCATTCCTTTCCTCCAGGTGGTCCAGGCAGCTGTTGACCTGGTCCAACATGGGGTTGATGGCTGCCTGTCCTGCTTCTTGGGTGAAGCCGTCATCCTTGCCTTCCGTGTGGACATCCACAGGCACACGCTGTTCCACGTCGTCTCCAGATACAGAGGGCTCCTGCACGTGCAAGGCTCACATGGCCGTAGAGTGAGGCAGTACATTGGGCGCGGGGACAGCCGAGGCAGGGAGGGTGGAGGGCAGTCATTAAAACCTTGTGCTCATTGAAATCGTCCTCCTGGGGAAAAGAAAGCAAGACTGTCACAGTCTGTTCTGATTGAAGATGTGCCCGCTGGGTGGTGGGCTCGGGTCTCTCCCCAATTATTCATAAAGATCTTACAGGCTGTGGCTGTCAGCAAACTCACCTCTCCCTACACTGGTCTAGGGGTCCCCCAAAGCTGGAATCTGTCACCTCCTGCCCGAGGGGTTCCTCAGGATGTGGAGGTCAAAGAAGGTCCTCTGTACTGTCATCACAGCTGTAATTTATTTCTTTATCTTAGTATTGTGACCTACTTGTGTTAAAGAATGACTTATCCATTAAGATGTGAGCTACCCGACTTAGCTATCTATGCAAGTCCAAGTCATCAGCTATGAGAGGAACAGGCTGAGATTTGGGGGGGGGGATGGGGGTGGGTCCTACTTCTCATCTGTACTCTGAACACAGGATTGGCAGGTATTAATTAAATAATTAATTAATTGACACATTTTGTGTTTTGAAGGAGAACAAGGGATGTTGGACCTGGGGAAGACTTGAGAGGAGTGTGCATACTTTTTTCCATTTATTGAGGGCTTTTTATGGGCCAGGCTGTGTGTGTCTCCCTCATAACTATTGCTATGGGGATAAATATGCTGAAAGGGCATCTATGAGAAACACTGGCTACCCTGGCACTCAGCAGTAGGGTCTCACTGCACAGGCACATGCATGTAGCACTCCACATAACTCCTGGACCTTGTTTGCACTTGTAGAACTCTGTTATTTTGGTGGAGACCAAGAATCTCTTAAATCAGTAACACTCAGTGTTCCCATCCCCCCCCGCCCCACCACCACCACCACCACACAGACTCAGAGCAGGGGGTCCCTGCCTCCTTCTACCCTCCTTTTTCCTTAAATGTGGTGTCAACTTAGAGATGAATGACTGGGTGACAGGAAGACTATAGGAAAAAGGGATGAGGAGGGGCCTGCCCATTCTAGGTTCCTTTTCTGCTTTTTGTTCTGGTTCTCTTCCCCACCCCAGGTATGCCAAAACTAGAAAGGCATGGAGCACCTTTTTGCCAAGATGTTGGGAGTGACTGGTGGTCATCTCATGACATTCGGGATGGTTCTCCAGGCTCTGAGGGATTCTGGTGAAGCCTGCAGCAAGGGTGGACTCAGACTGGAGAGGCTGTGAGTGTGGTGGAAGGCCCTAGGACACAAGCCTCTTCCTGACACAAGCACATGCAGGCTGGTCTGCCTTGTGTCCTGTGCTGGAGTCCTCTCAGCATTCCTCCTCCCTCCCCGTTCTTGTTTGTTTTTCTCTGTCTCTATATCCCTCCAGCGATCTGTCTATCCATCTATCTGTATCCCAGGGACACCGGCTAGGGACATAGGCTACAACTGCGCCCTGGTCTCTAGCCACAGTGGCACAGACATGAAGATCTGTTCCTACTATGTGTGGTCTGAGTTTCTCTGCTGATTTGGACAAGTGATCTGGGTCAACTTTGGGCAGCCATTACGCTTCCAGGTGTTAGGTCTACTCTCAGTGACTGACCCAAGTCCCAGAAGACGACCCACCACAATTTCTACACCCTGGCCCAGCCCTATGGTTTTGCAGCATGGAGCCCATCAAATGAGGTGAAGGAGGGTGGCAACTCTGACAGTAACCATCCATATTTAGGCTGAACTTCACAGGTTAAGGGCACAGTCCTCAGCCAGAACACCATCAGTTCAGAAACTAAGCACATGTCTGGGTTTACCAGGGACACTCTCACACTGACCAACTGATAGATGGGCCAAGGTCTTGAGCAGGCAATCTACAGAGGATAGTTACAAAAGTGCAGTGAACATTCAATATCATTTTCATTCAAATATTATTCAGTCTGCCCTCAAATATTATTCAAACACATTCAAACCAAAGAAATTAAAACACAACTTTCCCTTATAAGATATACAATGATGGTTGGAAAATCTAACATTCAGAATGCAGGAAAACAGGTACTTTCATTCCATTCGTGGGTGGATTAAGTTTGGAAGACATCTTTTGTAGGAGGTTTGCACATATTATATAAAGTTGAGAATGTGAATGACTTTTTGTTTGTGTGTGTGTGTTCATGTGTGTCTGTGCGTGTGTGTGCACATGCATGCACATGCTGATGGAGACTAGTTCAGTGGGGACACTCAAGGCCTGGGCAGAGTGAGGAGCATCCAGGATTTGGGCAGGTAGGCAAGTTGGGTGGGTCACAGGCCCACACTTGACCACAGGAGAGGATGCCAGGCGGTGGGGGCATGCCAAGCATGCAAAAGGGAAGTAGCAGAAGGATGGCCTAGGCAGGTAGATCTCTCAGGACATCTGGAGGCCAGTCGTAAGCCAGGTGGTGAGGGCTCAGGCTAGAGCCTGGCTCAGCCAGGCAGGCAGAGTGGAGGCCTGGCTCAGGGGTCCTTGGAGGGCTCCACTAGGGGCTGCCAATCGCTTGGGGCCTCCCTGAGTGGCTGCTTGATGTCAAGATGCGCCTGCCAGTTGGATTCAAGTACTTCCTATGGGCCACTTATCTTTTACTGTTTATCTTTTGCAGTTTATATCATTAACTCTCTTCTCCCTTGAGGCCAGAATATGCATTCTTCCCTGAGAAGGCCATATTCTTTCACATTCCTGCTCCTGTTCACTTGCTCCTCGATAATCCTTTAAACTGCCTCCTCTCTCACCCACGTTCCACGTCAACTCTCTTGCAAAACACATTTCAGCCTGGTGCATCTTTTCTTGACAGACAGCCCTGATACGGTCAAGGAAATCTTCAGTACATTTTTGCCAATTCCTCTAATCAGGGCACCACCCGCATTGTGCCTTCTGGTAAAACCAATGAGTGGACAAGAGAGCTTATGACATCCTCATGGGGAATATCAAATATCATGGGGCCTCTCCTAATGAAAGGTACTATTTCAGTGTCCCCATATGTGCTATTGAATCTTCATATGTATTGCACTGTATATTGAGCTATATTATACCAGGAGAGAACGAGCTACTAAGCTGATGAAATGGAAACTGGTGGTAAAAGTTTTAAGAACGAGACATATAGATATAGACATGAAAAAGTTAATAAGTCAACAAAGACATTAGCATAGATGAAAGTAATAGTTGTGGAACAAAACAACTGGCAAACTGGCCAATACGTTGTAAGGTGTGGATTATGTTACATGATTGGTAAGTAGAAAAAGAATCCGAGAAAGTAGATTACTGTTGGTGGAGCTAGCATGGGAAAGTCTCCAGAAAGGAGGTTGTATTTGCCCAGAGACATACATGGTGATCAGGTAACAGTCCTAGTTATTGTTACATGAAAGCTTACTGGTGTAAATCCTTTTCATGAACTTACTAAGGGTCATGGCAGCCTGATGACTTAGTTCTTTTTAGGATCCTCACTCTACTGATTAGGAAACTGAGGCACAAAACAATGAAGAATATTCATCTGGTAGGAGGAATAATTGTGGTATGAATCCCAAGAGCATACCTCAACCCCATGTACTGTACACAGTAGGTAAGAAGTTATTATTTTCTTCAGACAGACCATGAACGTGGAATGAAATATAAATGAAATAAGAATGTAAGGTAGGACTTTCCTGGTGGTCCACTGGTTAAAACTCACTGCTTTCACTGCTGTGGGCCCAGGTTCGATCCCTGGTCTGAAAATTAATAACCCATAAGCTGCCCAGTTAGGCAAGAGAAAAATAAAATAAAAAGAATGAATTGTGACCACAGATCAAGGAGACACTGGTGATCTGAAAGATAGGACCTGTGTGGTAGTGCTCATTGTATGCCAGGGATTGAGAGGGTCCAGTATGTATCCATCTGCTGATGCCAATCAGAGGGACAAACCTAGTAACAGTGGGAAAGACTTACAAATCCTGGGGCAAGATTCACATCAGTGGCTCCAGGCTTACTTGTCTCCCCTCCCCATGTGGATTAATCATCCTTTACTGATTATTGGGCAAGGCCTGCCACAGCTCTCCTGCCCTCTGGATCTTTGTCAGAGTCTCACCTAACTACTCCAGTTCTAGAAGAGCTCACCTGTAAGCTTTCTCTGGGTTTGCAAAGGAGCAGCTATTCTAGTGGAAAAGAAACCCCTCTGGGCCAGTATCTGGCTGTTTGTTTCTGGTATCATCGTTTTCTCACCCATAGTTTGGAACTAATTTTCATGTATTTGATTTTGCTGTTTCTTCTGAGTACTGTTGGAGGACTATGAAGCCAAGTCTAACAGCTGCAGCTGGCTGTCATGTTCCAGGTTTATTAGTCAGAGTTATTCAAGGAAACAAAATGAATAAGAGACATTTTATATCTATATCTATATCTATTGGCTGTGGGTTTAGTCACTAAGTCGTTTCCAACTCTTGTGACCCCGTGGACTATAGCCCACCAGGCTCCTCTGCCTATGGGATTCTCCAGGCACGAATACTGGAGAGGGTTGCCATTTCCTTCTGTCCCGGGAAGGGAGTCGTAATAGAGGAAGTTTCAAAAACACCAGGGAACCCTCTCACTGGCAGGTCTGAGGCAAATTTTCAAATCTCAGAGGGCAACATAACCGGGAGGAAAAATAAATAAAACCCACAGATAACATGCCTAAAAGCAACTCCCCTCAGAAAAGTACCCTAGACGCTCCCATCTGCCACCAGCAAGTGGGGGCTGAACAGAGAGAAGCAGGAAGCATTGCTTAGGAACAAAGGAAGGCCTGAGCAATTCCAGAGAAGAACTAGTCGGCTGTGGACCTGCCCATCCCCCACTGGAGGCAGGAGGAAGTGGGGAGGGGAAAGGGGCAAACTTGGCCCCAGAGATGGCATTCCCTACCAAACTGCAAACAGGCTTCCAGTTTCTAACCAAAGGCTTCCTGAGATTCTGGATGGTTGATATCTGCCGGGAGGGTTGCAGCCAGAGATC